CACCAAGCCAAGTACTCTGTAGAGAATAGGGGTGGTATGAATAGCTTGGAAACTTCCCTAATCTCCCTGTCAGAATTCCAATCCAAGCTTGTGAGGAGGAGGCATAGTGCTCATTCCTAGTGAGGCGGATGTGCACAGTGATCTCACAACTATTGTTTGGTGCAGACATATGTACCTTATAATAGATAAGTGACGAGACTAAAAGTTGGTAGAGTATGTTGATATTTTGTACACGAAATAATGAAACTTTTTTTCAGGGGTCCCATGTTTTACAAAATGACAAACCATCGTGACCCAATTCACTATAAACTGAGAAGAGAAAATTGATTGCATGAATGATCACTCCTGACCATTTTTACTGCCATTTCCACATCACCTCACATTATCTTGAATAGGTAAGCCAGCCACTTTGAATAGATATTGATTTGATAGATAGCAACTTGGTTTAATGGAGTTAACAGGCTTATGTGTTTTTTTCATCTCATCGGCTAAACATACTGAATGTATGCAAGCATTTCATATTGAATTCAAAGCATGTCAAACAATATGAACATGCAGGCTCTCTCATGTGGCTTATTAAAGGTATACTGCAGATATAAATCCAGAATAAAAGGTAATGAAATAGATTCTGTAAATTTATTTGGCGACACTAATAAAATCACCTGACCCAGTCTGTGGGAATGACTGTTTTAGATCACCTCCATAATATCATCAAAAGGCAATTTCTAACTGCATTGCTTTTTAACCTATCTACCCAGAATACATGTGTCTGAAATGAATTATGCTTTATTTTTCAACAGGACTGGTCTATCTGATGAGCCTCTCAAAGGAAACAAGATACCCAGATTGTCGGAATCAAATATGATAATCTTACTCTGAGCAAACAATGCGCTCCTCTCTGGTTCAAGGTGCGGTGGGTCAAGCCAGTGCTATTGTTATTATGAGTAATGGCATTCAATGCTTGGCTTCACTGATGGTCGCTCCTATATTTAACTGTCTACATGAAAGACAAAGCATTCTTCCCTCACAGACACATGTACATGTGTGCGAAGAGCTTTTGCAAATCCCATTTCCTCAAAAGGATCATTTAAGACTTTATATAGTTAGAGCGAAAACATAAATAATTCAAATTTCTCACCTAAAATGTAATTTCGTTCAAATGCAATTCTTGCCCACTTCTATTTTAAAGGTTGTAATATAAAACATAGGGTTGAGTATCACAAATTGACTCCACTCATTTCATATACGGCGCCTCTTTATCATGTTGTAAACTTATTGTGTTTTGATTAATTTCAAATTGCTTGCTTTGCTTCAGTAGAGTGTGAAATGCACTTTCCTTTTTGTAATTTTTTCAATTTCTGTCATTGTGAGCAGGGAGAAAAAAAAGTATTGGGCGGGCAGAGAGAATGAACACATGGATGTCTGGCGTAATTAAGAAGCTGAAGTATTAGAACAGGCAGTGCCTTCACCAACTATAATTCTTCAAACATGGTCTTAATTAAATTGTTTACACAGATGTGTGCAAGCTGGTTCCTGCAACAGTCATTCCATTATAACAACGCACTATTATCACCGGACTTATGAGTAAAGTCGTGTGCTGTTGTTGACTGCACTCTATACGGCACAATGGAAGAGAGGACTACATTCATGAGATTAGCTAATCCAACAAGTGCTATGTCTCTCTGGGAGTTGTTATGATGCTGCTCAACTGCAACATATTAATCCCATGAATGTATATTATTTCTTGGCAAAACTGAAATACAGAACACAGTAGCTGGCTCTCCATGTAGAGGGAGACTTGTTTGATTTGAATGGAAATTTTTTTTAGGGACAAATCGTCTGCACGAGACAAAAGACACATTTTTAAAGTCAGAGGAGAATCCATAATTTTAGTATTCTGTTCATTACATGAGTAGAGCGTAATAATTCCACACACAACACAGTCGATCAGGTTCCAGGTGGATGAAAAGCGCTCAGGGCTGCTTCCCTTTTTAGCCACTTAACAAAATACTGAATCTATGAAGTCTGAGTCACGCCCTGTCAGGGCCATAGGAGGAATGTAACCGCTGTCTCGATCACTCTCTTTTATTAGCGCGGACCAGACCAGTGGTCTGCCTGTCCTCATTCCCACTGTTATCTCAGGGATTAGGGGCTTGTTGTCTTTGACCATTCTCTCTTCGCCTGGTCACACAGATATAAACAAACACCCTGAAGACCTCCACAAAAAACACAGGCAATGGAAGCACACACTCGCCCACACATTACTTACCCAGTGGAGTTAGAAGGGAATGACTGACTTTAGGTAGGGCTTGGTGAACATAGCTTAGATTTATATTGTTCTTGTGTTCAAAAATATCTCAGAATAGAGTTAGTGTGAGTTGGAGTTTGGAGAATGGGGAGAAAAAGAGTTAGATCCTCTGAATTCATTTATATATCCATGACTTTTTTCTTAGCTGACTGCATCCTGATTAAAAATAACGTCATTTGGTTAGTGTATGCCTGGACACGTTAGTGTGTTTTCACTCCTGGATTTTGACTTCTCTATCTTATTGACAGTATGGAACACAGGAGTGACAAGCAATATTCAACAACATCTTCAGTTTTGACAGGTTTCAGCCTGTATAACATTTTTTTCTTATGTTATTGACGGTTTTCCTTATTAACTCTGTCACTCAAGTTAAAGATGTGAAAGTGCAAATAGCACACTGTGATCAAAAATGTGTCATTTTCTGTCAAATCAGACCAACGTGATCACGGCAAAAGTACATAGTCAGGAATTAGTAATGTGACAACGTTTAAATAAAGCTTTTGAAAATGAGAGAAAATCAATGTGTTTTTTTGAAGATCTGAAAATGGCTGTGTTCAACATGTGCAGACATCCAATCATCAGCACCAATGAAATTATCACTTACTTCAGATGCTGAAAGCAGGCAATCGATTGCTTCAATCATTTCAAAAGCAGTGTACTGATTGAAGCCTTGTTTAAAGGAAGTGTTGATGGAAAACAGGAGAAATAACCCTCCATGACTCATGCAGCCAGCACCTTATCTGTGCACAGCCGACTGACATTTTGACAAAGCCTCTGCTCGAGAGTTTTGGTCGGATGCTCAAGCAAACAATCTCCAAAGGTTTGTTTCTCTGTGATACCTTGATGTCATATTGCTAATACTGGTCCGTTGAACATGTGGTTTACTTTTCGCAGACATTTAAAGATGCCAACCAGCATCTGGACGTAACTTTGATGTAAGTTGTGAGAGGTTTAAATGACTCTTGAACAAATGTGATATTATGTCATACTGGTCTGTAATGGCCATGAGGGAAATATCTGATCTTACGTACAAGTATGTGGCGTTTCAGTACAGACATTCTATTCGGCCTCTCCTGCAGGTCTAATTCTTCTCTTCTGTTTCTGTCCGACACAAACGTGCACACACCCGCATGCACATACACACCAAGGGACGACAAATTAGTTGTCAGTTTCACTAGCCATGTGACCTCAAAAACAAAGAGAAAGGAGATAATGATCTTAGGCTAAGGACGCGCACACACACACAAACAAACACCTCACTACACTGCCCAAGGACTTCTCGCTCTAGATTGTTGGATCAAGGGGGACTGAAGATAGGAGGGTAAATGTGATTATTGCACGACAGGCTTTAGCTGTCTTAAACTGAGTTGATAAACTGTGATGCATATATAAATTAAGGTTGTTATGATTAAGATTGTGTCACAGAATTGCACATCCTATATACACCCTCTCTACCGTGAATTAAGTGATTGTTTTCTTGGTTAATTTATCATTCACTGAATGGTATTACAGAGCAGTCATCTACATAAAGCCAAGTGACATATTACGTATTTATAAACTAGACACATAATGGAATTGCCTTGCCTTGCTTTCACCTTGTGACTGTGAAACACATACTGCACGTAGAGCTGGGCGTAGGGATGCACAGACAATGGACACATTCAAACCACGAAGGGTGCAGGCAATCAAACATTTAAATACCCAGTACTTTAGGTTAAATGTACATTGTGTCAATTATAAATAATACAATAAGCATGTAACTCAATTCAAAATATATTTTATTGTATAGAAATCATCTAAATGGAAAATGCCTTGATCACTGTAATTATGGCCCTGTAGCAGACAGCTGTGGATTGTCATATAATTGATAGTGGCACCGAATGTATTTTTTAACATTTAAGGGCTTAACTGGTTGACCTTTCCAGCACATCAGTCTTAAATGCAGCATTAATTAAGAGTCCTTTTTGGATCTGTTAGAGCTTGCCCACTTCCTCAATATGGCGGAACACTCTAAGCTGCTCAGTAATAGAGGTAGAATGCTATCAAGTTATCATTTATCTGGGAAATGAGCAATTGCCAAAATGCCCGAAACATATCATTGAGAACAAATACTATCCAAAAAGAGCTCGCATTGAAAAATAAGTTTGGCAGACCTTCCTCTTATTATACAATATTACATAATATCATGTCCCAAACTGTGCTGATTCATCCTGAGACCCCGCACACTCAATTATTAACTATTTGTGAATTCACAACTGCAACATTCTGAAAAAAGCATTGTTCCAGAAAGCAACGATTCCCAGACTTCCAGCCGTTAGTGAGCAAATCTATTTTTGGTCCCTCTCCCTCATGGGCTGATATATCGTGCTCTGATCCCTTTGTCCATCAGAGGGACAGAACATTTTCGGCCTAATGCAACTGGACCCTCACTAATGACAGCGAACAGCCCCATTGGCTAGATGACAGCAGCTGAGAACAATACTTAATGTTGACATCACTTGCTATGGGAATCTATTTCAGGTTTCTTCCTTTTATGGTGTGCTGTTGGAAATTGCTATGTGGCTCCCTAGACAAAGCACATATAAAAGCTTTGGTAGAGGTGGTGGCCCTCTGTGCTCGGGGATCCCTTCCAATCCCTTCAGACTCTTGCTTGTTTTTCAGAAAGTACCAGCTCACCTCTGAATCCCTCAGCATGGCACCAAAGAAGATTGAACCAAAGAAACCTGAGCCCAGAAAGCCAGAGCCTAAGAAAGATGCGGCTCCAGCTGCTAAGCCAGCTGCAGCTCCTCAGCCACTGCCTGAGCTGCCCAAGGAGCCTCCATTCGATCCCAAGAGCATCACTCTTGAGTTCACTGCCGACCAGATAGAGGAGTTCAAGGAGGCTTTCACCTTGTTTGACCGCACACCAACTGGAGAAATGAAGATCACATATGGCCAATGTGGAGACGTGATGCGAGCTCTGGGCCAGAACCCTACCAATGCAGATGTGCTCAAAGTGCTCGGCAAACCGCGGCCAGAGGACATGAGCACTAAAATGGTGGACTTTGAGACCTTCTTGCCAATGCTGCAACATATCTCCCGTGCAAAAGATCAAGGCAACTTTGAGGATTTTGTGGAGGGGCTCAGGGTTTTTGACAAGGAAGGCAATGGCAGCATCATGGGAGCAGAGCTGCGTCATGTGCTGGCGACACTGGGAGAGAGGATGACAGAAGACGAGGTGGACAGACTGATGTGCGGACAGGAGGATGCCAATGGGTGTATCAACTATGCTTCCTTTGTGAAGCATATTCTCTCCGGATGAAAGTGACATGTAGCTATAAAGACTTTACCTCTGTTTCCTCTACTTTCTGGATCCTTGCTAAACATTTGTCCATGTAGAGCTGAGCATGTCACTTCATCCGTGACATTATTTCTCTGTCAAGAGCAGCATTTAATGTTCAGTGAGAAAATGTCGGCCGCAAGACCTATGATTAGTTATTTTTAATAAACACTGACGTACAATGAAATGCCAGTGAGATAAAATGGACATCCAAAACGAAAACTCCATTAATAAAGGAAATATAATTATAAACTGCCTCACAAATGTCATTTCAGTCTATCCAACATTTACATTTGAAGTGGAAATGATGAGTCACGCAGGATTGCTGATAAAAGTGCTCGTTTTATGTCTATTCAACTTTTCATATCAACTGTGTCAATGTGATTACGGGAAACTATTGCTGGGAGATGAAAAACAAATAGGATTTAGCCCCATCTGAAAATAGAACAGATTTGATTCTATTCTACTTTACACAAAGACTGTTTGAATGAGCATGCTTGTCATAGTGCTTGAGGGGCAGCTGCTGTGGATCAAGATATATTCCCACATGCTGGACACACACACACACACACACACACACACACACACACACACACACACACACACATATGCACGCCCTAATCCAGTCCCTTTGACAACAACAAGACAGGTGGTCCAAGGATAAGACCTCTGTTGGAGGGGCCATTTGTGTAAAGCTACTAGTGTCATCATATTCAGTGAACAATGTATAAATCATATGTTGTATTCTTAAGAGTTAATTTTTTTGTTCATGATTTAACGGAGGAAAGCGCACTCCACTTTCTATGTAAATCCTCATCTATAAGAATATGGCAAACTTACAACTGTTTGTCACTTAAACATATCAGTGCATGGACTTAATATTTAACTACATTGGATTGGATACACCTACACTATATGAAAAGCCTTTAAAGCTGCATTAGGCACATTTTGACCACTTATTAGATTGCTTCAAGTTCAGCTTCCTTCAAAAGTCAATTGTCCTCTTTGGCTCGCCGTCCCTTTTGCACTGAGTGGGGAGCATACATCAGGGTTGTGCGAGTTCATATGACGGTGAGAGCTGTTGAAATGCAGCCACATGGACCAGTGAACTGAAAGCGGTTGAAAGCTTGAAAAGAGCAGAGTGCTTTTATTCACAGTGCAGTTGACAGTACTGGAAGCCCACATCATCAGAAGTATCTTATTCAATGTCAAAATCAGACAAAGAGCAGTATAAGAAAAGCAAAACAAACACGCAACATTGTGTGTGTGTAGCTTTGGACATTTTCATTTTTAAAAGCAACTGAGCAACAGCATTATGACCCTGATCACACCGAGACGTGTCGCTACAGGTGCGGCTGCTTAAAACAACACCTTGACAAAGCGGACAAAGCAGCGTGGTGAGTCTGTGGAGCGGGGTTGCGTGCACAACCGGGCGATCAAAAGTGATGAACGGGGAAAGAAAATGATTTAAGCAGACATCAAGCTCTCGCTGTTATAATAATTATGGGGTGACCTTGAATGGTGTAGGTCATCGTAATTAAATACCGTTAATAACAACCTTTTGTCTGCACGTGCCATTGCCCCACTGATCCGACACATGATAACAGGAAGGAGGTGTTGAAGTATTAAAGCCAGCCTCTTGCTTGATGTGTTGTGCCGCCTGGGCCAGGTGGCACATTAAGGAGCGTTGTGACTCTACACCTTGCACTGAAAAACTGGGAATAGTTTAATTTTGATGCGTCTGAAAGAAACACTTGAAAAATGTGAAACTCTGCAAGAGAGGAGCGCATGCCAGGTTTGCTGTGTGATAGGAAAATATTGGTTTTGCTGCTGACCGGGGCTAATTCTTTCTCAAATCTTGCATTTCACAATTCAAACAGTTCCCAGCAGACCTGTTTGTGGTGGGATGATGCACGATACAATGCAACTCAATCATGCACCAGATCCATCTTGTGTCTTCCATAAAGAGGTGAGCATTGAGTTCATCTGGTATAACTTTTCCAGTTTTCATAAATAAATGTATTTCTTTCACGGCAGATGTTGGAATCACATTTGTTGGTTTGTTGGAACTAAGAATGAACTGTTCTTTTATAATGTATAATATATGCAGCGGTGGAAATGGAAGACATGATATGAACCTTAGAGGATTGATAACAATTGCAGTAGACAATTTTCATATGAACTCAGACGGTGAGAAACGAAGAGGAACCTAAATAATTAGCTGTTAAAAACAAAGAAACAGCAAAAAGAAGAAGACATCTTTTCTATGAGGTATTAGTTTGGGTCCAATTTAATCTATCCGATTCATTTGGTTCATCGAGTTGGAGCAATGAATCATTACACTTTAAATATAAACACATTTCTTTACTGAATGGTCCACAGCACAGTGAAGGTCTTCGTGCACTTTTGTGCTTTGTAAACATGTTGCCTTGTTCAAAGTTTACCTGCACTGTCTTGGATACTGAACTCCTGAACTTGCTGAATTAAGTAGATCAATTAAACGAAGAATGAATTAAACATTACAGTCAGGGGTAGAGTGGGTCTTGCTTTCAGCCTGGGGGTAAACGTCGCTGACAAAAACACAACACAAACAAAAGACAAATGAATCATAAATTAACAATCAACAAAAGTCTACTCTTTCAGATAAAAACAACTTACATGAACTCATAAGTCAGACCATCTGTAACTTACAGACAATCTTAACATCCTCCTATTCATTTCACTTTTTTGCTGGTTTTAAGGAAGTACTGTTGAAATTAAGCAGTCTCGCCAATGGTCATTTATTCCCCGACTGTAGATGACTGTGGGTTGTCATGTAACCAGTGTGTGTTTGAATGGGAATACACCCATGTGACGATGAGCACACTCGCTTGTCAGCTCAGCCTGCAGCGAGGCTCAGTGTTGTTAGCTCTGCCCAGAAGAGTACAGACCCACCAGTGCCGACCTGGTTCTCGTGATTCCCACCAGCAGCACACAGCGGTGTCAAACTGTAATTACTACACCACCAGGGTGCACCTCACTCGACAAACACACTATATAGAAGAATGAAAATACTAGAGCTCACAAAAAGTATTGGGGGGAATCTTACTAACCATAACATTCTGAGAAATATATAAAATATCAGATTTTCTTTTTGCATGACCATTAATATTTAGGAAATTGCAGTATATTTTATCACAAGATATTCTTTTAAAATATACGTTTTGAAAGTGAATCATGTGGTGGTGTACATTACCTTTTACTTTTTATTTTGTACTATAAATCAGCATTAAATTGCCTTTGTATTATATAATATACAGTGTATACAATATGCATGTGCATAATGTGCGGTATTACATTTACATGAAACTGTTGGAGTAAATTCTTCCCTCTTTTGTGGACTACAGGAAAGTAGTTGTTGACAGCTGATGGGGACCAATAAAAAACAAATGAACAATGAAAGTAGCTAAGCTCAGGTTAGTTTTTTTCAATTTAGGGTTGAATTAAATATTAAGATGGATGGTAAAGATTTTTACATCATGAAGCTCAAGTCTACGAAAAAACATTTTTCCAATCAATTAACAATTGGATCGGAATATGTGATGGCACGTGTCGAAGCTATTTTTGACACACTGTAGAAGGAGTAAAAAGATGCAGCTAAATAGGCAGAAGTGGCACTTACTCTATGCAGCTGTCAAGTACATGCAAAGGAGGTTCTAAGTGCACTGGGCAGCTAGCTCCATATACCCGATTGAGAGCCAGCCAGTAATTTAGTCCCATCGTGATTAATCAGCAGCTGTTAAAGCTTTAAAGTCCTTTGTCAAATACGTGGGGCTCTTGGCTGAGGGGATCCACCAGCTTGTGCACATGAGTTCAAATGTTCGTCGCGAGAGCATTTTCTGTACAAAAAGGTGGACCCAACATGTTAAATGTTTTGTGTCACAGAGGTGTTGCCACTACTGTGATTTCCATTGCTCTGGTCTCTGCTCTGTTGTTTTAGATTGTGTTGTGTTAAAATGTCAGATATGCAAACTGCTCTCTGCAATAGCTCAAGCAGCACAGGTGGCAGCATAAACCACCATAATACACACACACACTTTCACAGAAATATCAAGTGGCAGCGTTTCTCATACTTTGCCAGGGGCAACAGGCGGTGTTCGGTGCCAATCAGTCATTGGTGTAGTAATTACTGTACCTTATTTTGGGTGTCAACATGTCTCATGAGTACTGAGTTGTCACTTAAACGCAAATAGTGAAACAGACATTTATCTTTTTTTTTTTCTATGCAAGATTCTGGGAACAGGCGCAGTTTCCGTAAAGATTTCTGATGTCCAGTTTAACACTGTTTAGCTCAGCAGTTAAAAATCACCATGAGAGTAACGACAAAGATGAATGGCCACCTTGGCTATAAAACAAGCGGGAGTCACAAAAGGTGTGCCAAGGTCAAGATCAGCCAGCGTCATTTTTTTGGCAGCCTATCATTTTTCACAGAGAGCAACAAATTCACCGCTCTGTATTAAGAATAGATGAACTCATTTCATTTACGCACGAGTCTGACCGGATTTTGAATTACAAGAGCAAGTCTCATTTATGGATAAAGCTTGATCTTGAACATCATTTCTTCATATATGATGAAGTCATGGAGTCATATCCAACCTATTCAAACCCTATTAACGCTGTCCAATACATGATGAAACTGCTAACTCTGCTCAGCGGGTCGAGAATCACTTTAATGTAGACACTTCACACCGGCCACACGGTGATTATATCATCTCTGAGATCCGCTTGAGCCTATTGTCTCAACCTTTATTCACAGACTTCCAGGTCACACATGATTTGCAGTCTTCTCTCACAAAATGAATAGAAACAAGTTAAGACTGATGTTTATGCCTTCACTTGCAAGAGAAAGCAGTTAGAAATCAATAATGTTAATTGTTTTTTGGATGTGAGCGCCATCAACTAATTCACTTGAGAGTTCCCTTGAGATAGCTTTCAGAAATAGT